CAACACCCATAAATCGTGGTCTCTTGATCAATGGAAGACTGAAATATGGTCCCAGGAATCGAGCTTCACAATGTTTCCAACTAGTGGACATGTGTACGTGTGGCAAACACCATGACAGTTTTGTGCAAATGGTAAAGCATGGTGGCGGCGCAATCATAGTTTGGGCAGTCATATCTTGGTATTCTGCTGGCCCCATCATCACCTTGAAAGGTAGAGTCACTGCCAGCAACGATGTACAAATTGTGGCCGACTATGTACACCCCATGGTGGAGACATTGTTTACTGATAACAGCGCCATTTACCAAGAAGATAATGCTATTTGTTACAGGCCAAACTTGCATGCACTTTGACATTCTTAAGGTGGTTCTAAAGGCTTAAGGTTTTTCACCTTAATGCATTCTCTGTATTAAGGTAAAAAAAAAAAAAAAAAAAAACACCTTCTATTATTAGGATCCCCCCCAGTCCCCCCTTATATTTACCTAAACCCGATCTTGATCCAGCATTGTGCCTGAGAGCTGCAGCTTTCTCCCTCCTCATAGGACAGAGAGTAAACAGTGGGAGCTATTGGCTCCTGCTGCTTTCAATCAAATCCTAGGATGAGGGATCAGTGGGGCAGGGCCGAGCTGTGATGTCTGTGTTTAAGGGCACAGGCAGCGTGGCTTGGGATCAAGTCTGCAAGAGTGCCCTCATAGGAAACAGCTTCTTATGTGTGCACTAGCCAAAGAAAAGGAGACAGGAGTAACGAAAGGGGACCCCAAAAGAGGAAGATTTGGTGCTGCTCTGTGCAAAACCACTACAAAGAGCAAGTAAGTATAACATGTTTGTTATTTAAAAATAAATAAACTTTAGAATCACTTTAAGCTCCTAGACTCATTATCCAACTTCTAAAATTGACATGTTATTTAATAAATATATGCAATGCATAGAATTAGCACCAACAGATCAACTAGCTATTAAACAACATTTCATAGAAAATGTTTAATATTCTCATGTGCAGTTTTATCTACCATATGTAGATACAATTACCTGTCTTTCCAAAGCTAGCAAAAACATTAGCACATCATGATTTCAATGAAAATTTTGAATACTGCCCATCAATGTAACAATTAGGGATGCACCAATACCGGTGTCGATACCGAGTATTTCCATGAGAACTTGTGAAAATGCACCTGATACCCGAAAATTATACTTTGTGGTGCTATTTGCGTCCATTCAAAATGTATGACACTAGAAATTCTGAAAGAACCCTCTACACACTGCTGTCAACCCTTTCCAGCAGCAAATTTTGCAATAGAAAAATAGGGATTTTTAGTTCACACATATTGCAATACATGTTTAAGCTGGCCAACTGCAACAAAGTAATCCCTCTATGGCCAGTCCTACTCTGCTCTGCCAACGCAAATGCTACTGTGGACACAATGCCAACATGGGGCAAACAGACACAATGTGGGGGAGAGCTACAAGGTATAGGTCTGGCTATTGACTTGTAATAGGATTACTTTGACGCAGTTGGCCACCTTAAACATGTGTGAACTAAAAATACCTATTTTTTATTGCGAATTTTGCCCGAAGGGATAAATAGTGTGCAGGGGGTTCTTTCAGAATTCCTACTGGTAACATGTAGTTACACCCCTTTAGCACCTGATAGATAAATGCATGAACAATCTATTGGGATTTGAGTATAGGTATATCGTGTTTGTTGCATTACAGGTCAGTATGCAGAGCTAAACCTGGTAGCTCTCCCCCATTTTGTGTCTGTTTGCCCCATGTTGGCATTGTGTCCTGAGTAGCATTGCATTGGCAGAGCAGAGTAGGACTGGCCAAAAGATTACTTTGACACAGTTGGCCAGCTTAAACATGTATTGCAATATGTGTGAACTAAAAATCCCTATTTTTTACTGCAAAGTTTGCTGGAAAAAGTATATAGCAGCGTGCAGGGGGTTCTTTCAGAATTTCTAGTGTTAACATGTTGTTACAACCTTTTAGCACTGGATACATAAATGCATGTACAAGCTACTGGGATTTGAGCACAGGTATGTCTTGTTCAAATCGCATGCGGTTTTCCCCGCTGCTCCTGTGTGAATGCAGGCTTGTCATAGCCTGAGTTCACATAGGAGTGGTACAGAAAAACCTCCCCCCGCACAGATCCCATGCTGTCACAAAAGGAAAAGCCGCTTCACATGTCTGGGGAATTGAAATCCACTCGGCTTTCTCTCCTCTCCATGCAAGGGATGACAGTAGCTAGGCGGCTTCTGATACTCGGTATCAGCGAGTACTTGGCCGAAAGGATCAATACTCTTACTTGCTGATCAAAAAAGGGTATCGGTGCATCCCTAGAAACAATCAATGAGAACTCATAGCTGCTGCTGTGATTTTTACAATATTTTGTAGAATATAAAGTAAAAAGTACATTTCCTTCTCTCTCTGTAAAGGGAAATGAACACTTTTGGATGTTTTCCATCATGCTGGGAAATTACAACAACAAAAACACTATTGAATGAACCCTTATTCATGATCAATAAATAATCCCTACACCACCAGATTATCACTAACAATGTTCTCATCTGTTACATTATCAGTAGTGATTGGGTAGTGAATGGCTGGCTTTATGGGCATATTCTAGCAACTGAACAAGTTTTCTTTACAGAAGGTTTACAGTATCTGATTTTCATTAGGGGTATAAACAATTTATTTTCATGACACTGGCATTTATGAGAGCTGGAGCAAGGGTAACTTGCTAACCCCACTGGACACAGGGCAATACAGTAGATTTATTGTTGCTCAAGTTTCTAATAGAAGCCAATGCAAAGTACAGTTGTGTCCAAAATTATTCAACCCCCACTGAAATTGAGTGTTTTTTGGCCAGTTTGACATTGCTTTTGATCATTCAGTCATCTTGCTTACATTTACATTAAAGAGGCACTTGTAGGTCAGACAAATATAACATAACAGTTATATAATGAAATAACCACAAATGTCTTTTCTGTGCTCACAGCATTATCAGTTTTATTCAACCCCCCCCAAGTGACATTCAATCTTAGTACTTAGTACAGCATCCTTTTACAGTTATAACAGCTTTTAAACGTGAAGCATAGCTTGACACAAGTGTCTTGCAGCGATCTACGGGTATCTTCGCCCATTCTTCATGGGCAAAGGCCTCCAGTTCAGTCACATTCTTAGGCTTGCGCACTGCAACTGCTTTCTTTAAGTCCCACCAGAGGTTCTCAATCGGATTTAAGTCTGGTGACTGCGATGGCCACTCCAAAATGTTCCAGCCTTTCCTCTGCAACCATGCTCTAGTGGACTTGGAGGTATGCTTGGGATCATTGTCCTGTTGAAAGGTCCAACGTCTCCCAAGCCTCAGGTGTGTGACGGACTGCATCACGTTTCCATCCAATATCTCCTGGTACTGAAGAGAATTCATGGTACCTTGCACACGCTGAAGCTTCCCTGTACCTGCAGAAGCAAAACAGCCCCAAAGCATGATTGACCCTCCACCATGCTTCACAGTAGGCAAGGTGTTCTTTTCATCATAGGCCTTGTTCTTCCTCCTCCAAACATAGCGTTGATCCATGGGCCCAAACAGTTCTAATTTTGTTTCATCAGTCCACAGAACACTATCCCACAACTTTTGTGGTTTGTCCACATGGCTTTTGGCATACTGCAGTCGACTCTTCTTATTCTTTGGAGACAGCAAGGGGGTACGCCTGGGAGTTCTGGCACGGAGGCCTTCATTACGCAGTGTGCGTCTTATTGTCTGGGCTGAAACTTCTGTACCCACATCTGACAAATCTTTTTCTCAGTTCCTCAGCAGTCACACGGGGACTTCTCTCCACTCTACGCTTCAGGTAGCGCACAGCAGTCGAAGTCAGCATCTTCTTTCTGCCACGACCAGGTAGCGTTTCAACAGTGCCCTTTGCCTTGAATTTGCGAATGATGCTTCCTAAGGTGTCTCTTGGTATGTTTAACATCTTTGCAATCTTCTTATAGCCATTGCCCTTCCTGTGAAGAGAAATCACCTCTTCTCTTGTCTTCCTGGACCATTCTCTTGCCTTCACCATGTTTGTAACCCACACCAGTAAATGTCTAGAAGGAGCTGAGTATCACAGTCATTTTTAAAGCTGCCTAATTGGTGCTTATTATGCTTGATTGCTGCTCGGTGACATCCACAGGTGTTTTCAATACCTGATGGAAAGCACCTGTATGAACCTCTGTTCTTCAGAGTGGTAGTCTTTAAGGGGTTGAATAATTGTGGCAATGAAGAAACCACATAAGAACCATTTACTACTGTATTACATAAACAATTGATGTCATTTTAGTTGCATTTGGGTAGTTACAACGTCCTTGTAGGATTTGATTCTGAATACAATTCCAAATGTACACTATAGTCCCTAAACCCCTTTACAGCATTGGGGGTTGAATAATTTTGGACACAACTGTATATAAAGCCAAAACTTTGTTTTACTTTTGGATAGAGTAAGAAAGTACTAAATCCTGTTTGCTTTTGCCAACTTTGTCCCATTGCGAAGATCCCCGTTCACTGTGTTTCAAAAATACATCAGGAAGCGAGAGAAATCCATACCTACATCAAGTATCCCCTTTGAAAGACCTTCCCTTCACTTCTGTTCCAGTGACAAGACCCAAAATTTTCCCTAAGTCCTGCTGCCAACAGTAACTGGGAAAAAATTGGCTCATTCTCCACAGCAGGGATACAAACAGCAGTAAAAGACTAACGGATGTTAAAAATCTTCCTTACGATATACAAAACTTAAAACAGCTATGGCTTTAGATACATTTTAATGTTTCTCAGCTCCAGTCCACAGATAACACTGGTAGGTCATGTTTTGAGGCTTCCTTTATTGAAATTACTGGCTTAATTTTGGGTATAAATAATTACACTTACTCATATATTAAAGAAACTGTCAAAACTTGACCTGTTTTTCATACCTGAGGAGAAGAGTTGTGAAATTCTGCTACAGACCAAGCAGAAGCTGTCCCATTTAACTGGAACATAGTGTCAGTAGAAATCCCCCTCTTTTCCTTTCCAGTGCTTGTAGAAAATGATGTGTCCTTTCTTCTCTCTCTGATCTGCACTGTTGTAGCAGTCTCTGATAAGCCTTTGTCTTCTCCTCTTCATCACTATGCTCTACACCCCAAAGTTTCTTATGTACCCAGTCCAGGTCATTTTCATTTTGAAGCCTAGCTAGTTCCTTGCTGTACAGGTCTCTTGCTTTCTGCATGTAGAGAACATGACCAAAAATTAGCCACTGTGATCCAAGTAAACAAATGGTGCAACAACAGATACAGTTGTGTTCAAAATAATAGCAGTGTGTTGAAAAAAGTGAATAAAGCTCAAAATCCTTCTAATAGCTTTTATTTCCATATACACAAATGCATTGGGAACACTACACATTCTATTCCAAATCAAAACATGAAGAAAAATATATCAAATTTGTGTTGTTCCTCTAAAAAAAATTGAAGAAAAGTGAATATTAGACTGTTCAAAAAAATAGCAGTGTTTGTATTCTTTACAAACTCAAACATTCACTATATAAACTGAAAAATGTTTAAGGATTTTGCTTTCCTTTGAATCAATATTTAGTTGTATAAGCACTGTTTCTGAGAACTGCTGTACATCTGTGTTGCATGGAGTCAACCAACTTCTGGCACCTGTGAACAGGTATTCCAGCCCAGGATGAATGGACTACATTCCACAGTTCTTCTCTATTTCTTGGTTTTGCCTCAGAAACTGCATTTTTGATGCCACCCCACAAGTTTTCTATTGGATTAAGATCCGGGGATTGGGCTGGCCACTCCATAACGTCAATCTTGTTGGTCTGGAACCAAGATGTTGCACGTTTACTGGTGTTTGGGGTCGTTGTCTTGTTGGAACACCCATTTCAAGGTAATTTGCTCTTCAGCATAAGGCAGCATGACCTCTTCAAGTATTCTGATGTATTCAAACTGATCCATGATCCCTGCTATGCGATAAATAGGCCCAACACCGTAGTATGAGAAACATCCCCATATCATGATGCTTGCACAACCATGCTTCACTGTCTTCACAGTGTACTGTGGCTTGAATTCAGTGTTTGGGGGTCGTCTGACAAACTGTCTCCGGCCACTAGACCCAAAAAGAACAATCTTACTTTCATCAGTCCACAAAATGTTGCGCCATTTCTCTTTAGGCCAGTCAATGTGCTCTTTGGCAAATTGTAACCTCTTCAGCACGTCTTTTTTTCAACAGTGGGACTTTGCGGGGGCTTCTTGCAGATAGCTTGGCTTCATATAGTCGTCTTCTAATTGTAACAGTACTCACAGGTAACTTTAGACCTTCTTTGATCTTCCTGGAGCTGATTGTTGGCCGAGTCCTTGCCATTTTGGCTATTCTTCTATCCATTCAAATGGTAGTTTTTTTTTCACTTTCTTCCACGTCTTTCAGGTTTTGGTTGCCATTTTAAAGCATTTGTGATCATTTTAGCTGAGCAGCCTATCATTTTCTGCACTTCTTTATATGTTTTCCCCTCTCCAATCAACTTTTTAATTAAGGTATGCTGTTCTTCTGACCAATGTCTGGAACAAACCCATTTTCCTCAGAATTTCAGAGAGAAATGCACTGTAACCAGCATGTACAACACTTGCTGCCTTCCCTCCTTAAATAAGGGCAATAATTGCCACCTGTTTTTCAAAGAATGAATGACCTCACTAATAGAACTCCACACTGCTATTATTTTGAACATGCCCCTTTCAATTAGTGATTCAATTACACGGAATCAGTAGCATGCATGTCATGACTGTTGGGTCTGTTGGATTTCTATTACTCTACTACACCTGCTAGTAAATTATTTGCCATGTAGAAATATCATTTCTACCAAAAATAGTGATTGATCAGGTTAGTGATGTCTGACTGCTATTTTTTTGAACACAACTGTATATAAAAAACAAAACAAAAACAAAAATAAAAACACATACTGTAAACGTTGCACATTACCAATAAAATAAAATAATGTATTCACCTGGATGGCATTGTGATTGTACTGATATCTCAAGATAGCCTCGCAAAGGTTCCAAAAAGTGTATTCAGGCCACAAGACTGACTGGAACACCAAACAGGCATGTGATGTCTGTTGAAGATAGAAGATGTTGAAGAAAGAATGCTCAAAGCAAATTCTTATAGAAAGATACCTATGTGCATATGCTCCGATTTGTCAGAAATACTCTTAGTAATAGACACCAACACATCATTAAACAGAAAAATACAACCGCAAATACAACAATGTGTACAATAGATATATCTATTAAAAATAATGTGCCCCTCCCCCGAAATTATTTTATTGTACACAATATACATTATCTCTATTAATCTATATTTATAAAACAAAGTTCACTCTTCAATTTACAGAATATATGAACAGAGCTTAACTTGAAGGAACTCTGGAAACAATATTTTAAAGCTGGCTGAAGTAAACAGACCTGCCATAATAGAAAATCACTGAGACGAACTTCACCAGATGTGCGTATAAGGAGATCTGGATCTGGAGAATGTGAGGTGTACAGACAATGGTCCAGGAGATTTTCAGTAACATCACTGAAAAGCATTAAAAAGAATATGAACTTTTTGCATTGGTTAACCAGTTTTTGTTCTAGATTATGTTCATTTTGGTACCACATCGAGCTTACACTAGGAACAATATACTGTTTTGTTGTGCTAAAATGGCTTACACAGGGCAAAACAACACGTTCATCTGAAAGTCATCCCCCACAGAACGTTCTCTCTTTTGCTTCCAGGATCAAAGAATAACATCCCAGTACTTCTTGGTATAGAGATCATGTGACAGAGCTGCTACTTGATGACAATTAGTGCTGCCACATGGGAGTGCAAAACACACACCTCAGCTTCGTGTTTAGCACTGACTAGGATAGACTTGGAGCTTACACAGAGCTCCTTCTCTTTGTTCCCGGAGGTGGGGAAGCAAAGGGAAGGTACATATTAGCTGATGAGGGGGCTGGCTTTACAGTGAACATTCTGCTTTGCCCCGCATATTTTTCCCTCTTCCTTTTACCCATGATATAGGAATTCCCAGAAAAAAAACCTATACCTCATTAGTAACATTTGCAGATTAGATACAATGGAACATTATCTGTAGATTTTCTGGAAATATAGTATTTATGACTAAACAGAAGATATACATGGCTCAAAACCTTCTCCTTTACAAATACCTGGGATCTAGTAGTCCCTCTTGGACCCCCCAGGCTGCCTCTCGAACTGCATTGCTGATCTCATGTCGGGATGTGTAAGCGAAGCAAACATTCAAAAAACACCTAAAGACCAAAAGAAATAAATAAATTACATTTTGCTTAGGAGAAAGACAAATACAAAAGTATGTAGCCCAATTTTAGCATAAATATACAGAACATAAAACTTTATATGAACAAATATGAACTTTGTATGCAGCCACAGAAAATACATATTTTACAAAACTGGCAAAATAAAGGAATTCTCAGGATTATTGTTATTATTGGAGCCAATTTGATAAAATATAGTCTGGGCTTTACAAACATACTATGACAATGTATGTAGGCAAGGTAACAGGACATTTAGTAAACCAAGTCTTGGCATGATTTGTAAACAAATCCAAATTAAAGTAGAAGAAGTGCTATGAGGAAGTCTATTATTGCCAAAACATGTCAACATACCATTAAAGTGTTTTTACATGTAGCCAATAAAGAGTCTTGGTTTTATTGATCATACCAATTGCCGGCTTAATTCTGTTATGGACTATACTGCTTTAGTGTGAACACTTTTGCTATGGGGATTGTATGTTCACTTGTCAGGATAACAATTCGCTGCTGTAATAATGACTTTTCAAAGGTATAGCCAAAGTTATGTTCGCCATACTTCTCGTGCATTACAGGAATACATTTGCTTGTGCTCTCCAGCAACCCAGAAACAGCCTACAGCAGTCTAAAACCCGCTGTCAGCCAACAACAGAGAGCCTCTCCAGGCTCTGGAAGGATCCTAACTCAGATGCTTGATTGGCAGCTGGCTCAGCAGCTCAGTGCGCGATAACAGCCAGCTGCTTCCACCCCAGCCTGGCGCCCCCGTGAGCAGGAGCAGTGTAGAGAGCAGTGAATGGCTGCTGAGCAATCAGTGGTCATGTGACCACTCAGTTTTTGGGCTTTGAGCTAGTGGAGTGGGAGAGATGCAGCATGGAGGTATGTATGTTTGTTTCTTAACCACCTCAATACAGGGCACTTTTACTCCCTTCCTGCCCAGGACAATTTTCAGCTTTCAGCGCTCGCAACACTTCGAATGATAAATTACTCATAATTAGTGTTATGCAACACTGTACCCATATGACATTTTTATACTTTTTTCACACAAATAGAGCTTTTTTTTAGGTGGTATTTAATCAACACTGGGTTTTTAATTTTTTGTGCTGTAACCAAAAAAAGACCGAAAATTTTGAAAACAAAATATGTTTTTCTTAGTTTCTGTTATAAAATTTTGAAAAGAAGTTTTTTTTTCATATAATTTTAGCCAAAATTTATACGGCTACACTTCTTTGGTAAAAATAACCCAACTCTGCATATTCTTTGGTCTGTGTGAAAGTTAGAGAGTCTACAAGCTATGGTACCTATCATTGAAAATTGATCAATCTTGATGTACTGATTGCCTATCTTTTTTCTTGAGGCCCTAATATGCCAGGACAGACATATAACCCCCAAATGACCCCTTTTTGTAAAGTAGGCATTCCAAGGTACCTAGTAAGTGGCATGGTGAGTTTTTTGAAGTTGTAATTCTTTCCCACATATTTTTGGAAAACAAAGAAAGTAAATAATTGGGGCAGCACAGTGGCTAAATGGTTAGCACTTCCGCCTGGCAATACTAGGATTGTTGGTTCGAATCCCAACCATGACACCACCTGCCTGGAGTTTGCATGTTCTCCCTGTGCCTGCGTGGGTTTCCTTCGGGTACTCCGGTTTCCTCCCACACTCCAAAGACATGCTGGTAGGTTAATTGGATCCTGTCTAAATTGGCCCTAGTATGTGTATGGATGTAAGATAGGGACCTTAGATTGTACACCCCTTGAGAGTTAGGGACTGATGTGAATGTACAATATATATGTAAAAGTGCTACGTAAATTGACAGCGCTATATAAGTAACTGAAATAAATAAAGTTTGTTTTTTTTTTTTCACAAAAACGGCATAACAAGTTATTTCTCACACACGGCATAGGCATACTTGTAACTACACCCGAAAACACATTTTGCTACTCTTCCAGAGTATGGCGATACCACATGTGTGTGACTCTTTCACAGCTTAGCCACATAGAGAGGTCCAACATCCAAGGAGCACCTTCAGGCATCATGCACTTTAAGACCAGGCCCTTCTTCTCACACTTTTTGTTTACCTGCTAAATAATTACTTAGAACCCCCAAACATTATATATATGTTTTTAGCAGGCCCTAGATAATAAAATGGTGGGCTTTGCAATTTTTTTATGCACACAGTATTTGAGCAATGGCTTTTCGAATACAATTTGTTGGGAAAAACCATACACTTTAATGAAATTTAATGCATACAAACACAATATAATACCCAATTTTTTGGTAAAATATAAAATAGTGTTGGTGCTGATGTCATGCTTTAAAATTGCGCACACTTATGGAATGGTGCCAAACTATGGTATTTAAACATTTCCATAGGCACCGCTTTATAAGCCTTTACAGGTTACCAGTTTAGAGTTACAGAGGAAGTCTGGTACTAGAATTATTGCTCTCGCTCTGATGTTTGTGGCAATACCTCATATTTGGTGCGATCGCCGTTTACATATACGTATGAGACTAACGGTTGCCTTTGCATGCAAGCATGAGGACACAGAACTACTTTAAATTTATTTATTTTTGTATAATCTCCTTTTATTATTATTTTATAGCAAAATGTCAAATTCAATAACAAGGATAGAACAAGTACAAAGAAAGTTAGAATAGTAAGTGGAAGATCAAAGTCTGTGTCCATAGATCCCAGCGCCGATTCACCAGCTGCCCGCTGTCATGGGCAGCAAGGAAAGGTGTACATAAAAAAAAAACAAACAAAAAAAAACACCCAGTGGCCATGCAGGAGCTATGTCTCTGCCCATGACCACTGTGTACGAGGAAAGCAACCATGTAATAGTTGAACACAACCAGTACAATAAAATGGAACAAAGGTAAGGTATAGCAACAAAGTATCAGTTAAATTCAGGGCACAGACAAGAAAGAAAATCACTGGGCAAAATTTGCATCAGACAAGAGTGCAAAAATGCATGAAGAAAAAAAAAAAAAAAAGGATTAACAGACCATGGGCAACATGCGGTCAAATAGTAGGAGGTAGGATACTGGTGGGGTACAGACAGAATGAAAACACCTCCTACAAGCTTTAACCAGTGCTCAGCTGGACATTGATAGAAGTCACAAGACTGCTATATACTGCTGAGAAAAGGTATTTAGCAGTTTATATTTACTAAAATAATTGCATTTCCATGTTCTGCTTACTGTGGAAGACCAGATATAGTGAATGCAGGTACTTGGGTTTAGTAACACTTTAACAACCACAAACTATTACTAGTTCCATATTCAGCACTGCCACCTATCCTGGTACAGCTCAGTTGCCAATCTAACTCACCCCCCCAATGCAGTATTGATTTTTCCTCATTTCTGGCATTTAAATTGTTCTTCCAGACTTGTCAGGTGCTGATGCATCGGCACCTGATCTGTAATATGTAAATATACCTCTGTCCTTTACAGCAGTTTACTGCTGAAAGGGGTATAAAACTCTTTTCCATCAGTTTCAATCTTGTTCAGCGCATTCATGTGAATTGGCTGCAATTCTAACCATAGGTGGCCCTTCCGGCATAACAGAGCTTAGCAAACTTCAATTAAAATAAAAAACAACATTTTGAAGGAGCAGAGTGGAAAACTATTAAACAGTGTTAAACTATTGAACAGTGGTAACCCAATAAACTGCAATCACTGTTTTGACATTCTGACAACTGTGGGTGCCGGCTATCAGAACACAATAGCTGGCAGATTAGATTTGTACATATATGCTGTTTAGAGTAGATGCGGGTATGATTTCTTTCATTCATTCCACAAGACTGGAGGAGAAAACCCAAAGGGTTCGTTTTGGTAGCCAGCAGATGGTAAAAGTAGTCAGTTGAGCCACAGTTTTACCCCCACCTAAACACAGAGATGCAGCCTCACAAGGCTGTACCCATGCCACAACCATGATCCTTTGCTTCACAGCAAAATTTAAAGGGCATGTTGCATTTGGCAGACAGTACCACTGTTGAACACCCTCACAACCCTCACAAGTGAATGTTGAGGGTTGATCAGCATCTTTTGCTTCTCTGATGGCCACGTTCCCTGAACTGAGAGGTTCTCCAGAACACTTGAAGACTTGCGTCTGTTGTCAAGACCTTCCACTTCTTTGGAAGGATTTACCTGCATCCCACACCTGCATGGATATCCACCATTCCAGAGCTGCTCTGGTCTTGAAATTCAGATGTATTGGCTGATCTAAGGACTCCCAACACTTCACTGATACCGCCAAGATATTGAGCTGCAGAGCTCTGGACTGATATTGTGCATAAAGAACTCCTCGAAGACAACTACTATCTTCCCAAGAATTGTCATGGTTATCAGGATCGAGGGACCTTCCAACATCCTGCCTGCAGAAGTATCCTTGCCTGAGACATATCCAGTATTAAACCCATATATTCCTGGTGTTAGAACCAAGGCTAACTTCTGAAGGTTTTAGGATGTAGGTACCCAATGATGGTCCAAGCAAGCATCCGCCCTCAAAAGGGCAGACTCTTAATGTGCTTCTTGTAGAGAAGTTCCACCAACTAATACTTAATCAATAGAATTATTCTCAGATCTAGATCTATACACAGACAAAATCTAGAGATATACTCAAAAAAAGTTAACAAAACAAAACAATAATGGGTCAGATTTTCCATCACTCTTCTATGTTTCTCATGTGGACAGACAGAGCCCACTCATGAAAACTGCCTTTTGGAATCCTCCAAGCCATCTACCAAGAGCTCAGGGCTCTCAGAAAACATTCCAGTAGCTGCCATATAACAGGATCTTCTGGGTCATGTTCTCTGGAATGGCTTGGCACACGCCTATAGAAGCCATCGCAGGCTGCAAAACCACTCCTATTGGAGAGAATGACATCTTGAAGAGGGCTTCTAACCTCTAATCTGTGGCATTTTTAAATACCTGATCATCATCCACCGGGACAGTCAGGGTCTCATTCAAATAGGAAGCAGCCGGCTGAAGACCCTGCAAATCCCATTTCTTAAAGATTTCTTTCTCCATTAAGCATTGGTGAGCAAATCAGTTTGGTGGTAAAAACACCTTCTCTGGGTGATCACAATCAGTATACATCAATTTCTGCAAGTGAGGGTGGACTGGAAAGGACCCAAAACCAGGGGTTTCATAGAAAGAACTTAGGGTTATAGTGCGACCATTTGCTGGAAAGCCTATTTCGGCCATTCGTGCCTGAGACAACCCTGAACCGTGAGATTCCTCCAGAGAGGGCTCATCTACAGTGGATTCCTGATGCGTAATGGCCTCCACTTCATCCAGAAATGGCTACAGATATTTTCTCCCTAGACACATAGGAAAAGGAGGTGACCCTGAAACAGTGTAGATACAAGATAAGGGCAGGAGTTTAGCGCTAATCTTACCCATAAGGGAATTATTGCAGGGCAAACTTTGCAGGAGGTTGAAGAAAGAATCTGGAAGCCACCATTGTCTCTCTCCCCATCTCTTTGTCTGTAAGGAGCCAAGGCTGTCTGGGGAATGGTAGGCCTGTAACCCAAAGGGAAGTGGCTACTCAGCGGAGAGGAGTGCCAGCCTATGTAAAAACACTAAATTGACAGCACCCAAAAAAAATACACGCATCCCTGTACTTACTGTGACAGAAGACCGCTCGGTTAGTGATTATGGAAGGCAAGATGGCTGAGATATCAGGCAGACGCTGCTGAGCAGTGTGGAAAAGGAATTTCTATAGAAGCAAAAAGGGACATAAAATGGCTGACTGGCCCACACCCTTTTAAACACTGCCAAGTCCAGACTTAACACCAATGGACTTTTCTTTGGGGGTACCTTAAAGAGAAAGTGTGAGCCTCAGAATGCAACCAGTTTAGAAGAAGTCATTTCAAAGGAACGTGGGAAAGTGCCAAGCAAAATGTTACAAAGGCCCGTGCAGAACATTCAGCCCCACGTAGAGAAATGTGTTGCAAATGTTGGTGCAATTGTTTAATTTTAGCTGGCAGCCTAACCTCCATAGCAATGACTTTTAACTGTCCTGTGATATACAATTAGGAAACTAAGAGTTTAAGGATAACATAAAGGAAAGGAAGGTACAGCTGATATACAGTGGGTATAGAAAAGAACCACCCCTTTAAAATAATCACATTTTGTTGCTTTGCAGCCTGAAATGACGACAGACACAGTTTTTGTTTTATGCAGCTGTATTTACTCCAAACTTTAACATCCAAATGAATGATATAATACCAACATGTCAGAAAAAAATTAAAAACAGAATCACCCCCTCCTAAAAATGACTTGCAAACTCAATCAGGTGTAACTAATCACCTTCTCAATGGCACAAAAAGCCATTTGACTTTCAACTGTGACCAGCTGTGGACATTGTGATCAGCTCAGCATGAAAAGTACTTTCCTGGAACATTTCAGTCTCTGGTAGTGCAACTGAAGCAAACAAACTATGGGTGGCAAGGCACAGCCAAAAGATCTCTGGGATAAAGTTGTGGACAGGCACAAGTCAGGAGATGGATACAAAAAAAATTTCAAAGACTTTAATGCCAAGAAGAACAGCAAAGTCTGTTATTAAGAAGTGAAAGGTACTTCGTACAACATGGACCGTCCCTGGATCAGGACGTCTCTCAAAATTGGACAAAAGAGCAAGAAGGAAACTGGTCAGAGAGGCAACCAAGAGTCCTACAGCAACTCTGAAGCAGTTGCAGGAATTTATGACAAATAGTGGTCATAGGGTGCATGTGACAACAATATCACACATTTTCCACAAATGTGACTTTAATGGGAGGGTTGCAATAAAAAGGCAACGCCTCAAAAAAGGCCACATGCAGTCATGACTTGAGCTGTGCCAAAACGCGCTTTGAAGATTCTGAGGCCACATGGAAAAGGTGTTACGGTCAGATGAGAATAAAATTGAATTATTCGGCCTCAATAGTAAACGATATGTCTGGTGGAAATCCAAAACACCTCACCATCCAAATAACACCATTCCTACAGTAAAGCATGGAGGTGGTAATATCCTGTTATGGGGGTGTTTCTCTGCAGCAGGGACTAGAGCACTTGTCAGGATAGAAAGAAAATGGATGGGGCAAAATACCATCAAATTCTTGAGGAAAATCTGTTGCCCTCTGCCAGAAAGTTATCAAAGGGGAAGAAGGTTTACTTTCCAACATGACAAATGACCCAAAGCACACAGCAAAAATGACCACACAGTGAAATAAGGTGAATGTCCTTGCATGGCCTAGTCAGAGCCCGGACTCAAACCCCATTGAAAATCTGTGGAATGACTGCAGTCCAGAAACAGTCACCATCAAATTTAACTGACCTTGAGCAGTTCTGTAAAGAAGAGTTGGCAAATATTGCAAAGTCTAGATGTGCAAAGTTTGTAAAGACATATCACAGCAGACTAAAGGCTGTAATTAAAGCAAAAGGTGGTTCAACAAAATACTGACACAAGGGGGTGATCCTTTTTCCAACTCAGTGAATCTGTTTTTGAATTTTTTTTTTCTGACATGTTGGCGTTATACCTTTTACTTAGATGTTATTAGCTGCACTGAGTAAATACAGCTGGATAAAACAAAAACTGTGTCAGGCTGTACAGCAACAAAATTTGATTATTTTAATGGGGCTGATTCTTTTCTATATCCACTGTATGCACAAACTGAGCCTTACCTATCTAGTTAGGCACGTGTGGTAAGGGACTCCATGCTATACTGATAAAAATGACAACTCCAAAATGATCAAGTAATAATAACTGAAAATTCTCACTTCGAATAGTTCTTGGTTTCCAGAACAGCTTGAGCAATAAGTTTCTGGATGTCAAGTGGCAGCAAAGTCAAGTCTCCCAATACTCGAATACAAACTTCATGTTTCTGAAGTTTATCTCTGTGAACAAAAAGCCAAAATATAAAATGATTATCTAATGAAATACTAAAAAAACAAATCTTTTAATAAGATCAATTAAATGTAAATCTAAACAAAATGTTTTATGTCTTATTATGCAGCCCCTTGAAAATGTATCCTTACAGTGTGATTAACTGTTCATTCAGGTCTAGGGGGCAGAGAAAAGTAGATTTACTTATCCAACCCTCTGTGCTACTAGAATGACCCCCTGTAGCTTCTGCTCCCTTATTCTTCAGTGGTCTAAGGTTCTGACAAAATCAAGACCAATGCAAGGTCCAAAGCCCTGCACTGGACATGGGAACGCAAAAGGGAAGTACACCACTTTTATCATCCAGTAGGCTAAACGAGCAGTTAACCCTGGCAGTGTGAGATACAGTGCTGACCAAAGAAAGGTAAGTCCGTAATGAGGTAATGATCAGCTGCAGGAAAAGCACTAGAAATAGAAATGACTAGTCCTTTGTCCTATGCTTGCCACTTTTTGTTTCCAACAGTTCAAGAACTCTTTGAAGCTAAAAGTTTAAAGTGACTGTAAAGGCTTTTTGTAAAAGGTTATTATTTAAAAATAACAAACATGTTATACTTACCTGCTCCGTGCAATAGTTTTCCACAGAGCAGCCCCAATCCCCTTCTTCTGGGGTCCTCCACCAGCACTTCTGGGGTTCTCTCCCCCCTGCCAAGGGCCCACCATAGCAAGCTGCCTGCTATGGGGACACTCAGCTTCGCTCCCAAGCCACCTCTGTGTGTCCATAAGACACACAGAGCTGGGCTCAGCCCCGCCCCCACTCCCTCCTCACAGACTGTAATTGTCAATTGGTTCCACTGCTATGTCTGAGGTAATGAGGAGGCAGAGAGCCTCTACTTTTGTGTACATCCCTGGAACAAGATCTGGCTCAGGTAAGTAGAAGGTGCAGGCAGAAGGTTTTCTACCTTAATGCAGAGAATGCATTAAAGGATAAGGTTAACCTTTTGGACAAAAATAATAAATGCCCATTTTTTTTTTAAGGTAAAGAAAACCATGAATTTATTATTTGTGTGCAAAGCAGCCTGTAAAGCATTGCACCAGTGATCAGTAGATTGCTGATGCCATGCAGGTCTCCTGCAGACCTGTCAGAATATCTGCTTGCCATACAGGATGTACAGTAAAGCCGATATACTGACCGGAAGCTTCGATGAACTACCACGGCGCTCCACAGTGCCATGGTAGTTCATTGAAAACTACAAGCCCACAGCCGCTAAGGATGTCGGGACTTGTAGGTACTCATTCACAGAACACTGTGAATGAATGACGCGGCCGTATAGGCGGAGCCTGCTGTCAGATGGAGGGGGGCGGCAGCCGCAGCTATGGGGACGTTACATTTTCAACCCTAAAAACGGTGGAACATGTTCCAAAGATGAACTTATCCTTTAAGGTAAACTACTTTCTGCTTTTAGAACCACTTTAAAAAAAACCCACACATAACCTAGAGAATGAGGCAGAAGCAGAAAATATATGTGCACTTAAAGCGGAGTTCCACTTACCCTGTCAAAAAAATAAAAAAGTCAGCAGCTACAAAAACTGTAGCTGCTGACTTTTAAAAAACAGCCACTTACCTGTCTCTCGGTCCCGTAGTGTGTCCCCCGCAGCCCATTTCACCAGCCGTCCTATATTCCAGGAGGCCGGCATCTTCAGTGTGGGCACCTGGCTGTGATAGCTTGTGGCTTAACAGCCGGGTACCCACTGCGCATGCGCAAGTAGCACTGCGCTTCATGAATGGTCCTGTAGTCTACTGGGACCTGTCACGTGTCCCAAAAGACTACAGGGAGGGAGGACACCTTCCGTTTCCGATCGCCTGTCAAATTCGGGTACCCGCCCTCAAAAGGTACCAATCGTTAATGGGGAGCAGTCCTTAAAGCGGAACTTCCCCTTTTGGGTGGAGCTCTGCTTTAATTACCTTCCCAAGGATTTCTGAATTTAATCATATGTACCTAAATGGCATCTTGAGTGTTGCTTAAATCTGTACCTAAAACTATTTGCCATCTTCCTTTATCTTCTGTACCACATATTACCGGCCACTTTACTAGGTACAACTGTTCAATTGCTTGGTAAAACAGAATCAGAACGGGGAAGAAAGGAGATTTAAGTGACTTTGAACGTGGCATGACTGTTGGTGCCAGATGGGCTGGTCTGAGCATTTCAAAAACTGCTGATCTACTGGGATTTTCATGCACAACCATCGCTAGGGAAATCGAGACTCATTGGACCAGGCAATGTGTTTCCAATCTTCTACTGTCCAATTTTGGTGAGCCTGTGCAAATTGTAGCCTCGGTTTCCAGTTCTTACCTGACAGGAGCAGCACTGGTGTGGTCTTTTGCTGCTGTAGCACTCCTGCTTCAAAGATTGACGTGTTGTGTGTCCAGAGATGGTATTCTGCATACCCTGGTTGTAATGACTGGTTACTTGAATTACTGTTGCCTTTCTATCATCTCGAACCAGTCTGCCCAGTCTCCTCTGACCTCTGAAATCAACAAGGCATTTTCATCCATACAACTGCAGCTCAATGGATATTTTCTCTTCTTTGGACCATTCTCTATACACCCTAGAGATGGTTTTGCGTGAAAATCCCAGTAGATCAGCAGTCTTTGAACAAAAAAAAACAAAAAAAAACCAAACCAGCCGGTCTGGCAACAACAACACCCATGCCACGTTCAAAGCAACCTAAATCCTTTTCTTCCCCATTCTGATGCTCAGTTTGAACTTAAGCAAGTAGTCTTCACCATCTCTAGATGCCTAAATGCATTAAGTAGCTGCCATGTGATTGTCTGATTAGCAATTTGTGTTACCGAGCAATTGAACAGGTGTACCTAATAAAGTGGCAGGTGACTGTAGATTCAAACAGTGTTCATCTGTAGTATAAAAACTTACACTGCAATCGTCAAACTTACTTTTCTTCCAGAAGACGGGTAAATTTTTGACGAGCCAGTTCCATCAAGCCTTCTACCTCCTCCTTTGAGCGCTTAAAATTCTCAATGCTGAAGGCATAAACGGTCACTTCACAAATCCCAAGGTTTAAACACCAACGCAGTGTCTATGGATAGGGAGGTTAATATAAGAAATTTGCAATAATTTTTAAACTGTATGATTTAGGTTCTCTGGAATACAACGACAAATTCATAAATAGCAATAAAAATCTGATCTGTAATCAGGTGGCTGCTCAGCAGCTAAAAAAATTTGTGTTATATGAAATTCTGTGTACACTGCAATGAAGAAGGATTTCTATGACAACAAAAGACATTCCGAGGATCAAATAGGACAGGAATTAGATACAAGTACTGAGTATAAAAAAGACTACTATAAAAACTTGAGAACGATCATAAAAAAAAATATTATAAAAATCCTTTTGCATTTTTACCATTTCCAGCCAGCAGCAAGTCAGCAGTACTGTTTACTGTACCCTGGCAACAGGCATAAGTGATGTCAGTAAGGATGTCATTCCCAAAAAGTATAATTGGTGATATTGTGCCCAGAAACTATAGTGCTTCACAGGGCCATGATTACTCATGGCTAAGTAAAGTTGTAGTGACAAATGACTGACTCTCCAGCAAGCCAATGACAGCCATGATTACTTTCAGCTAATGGGTATGCAGCCTAGTAGACATATTTATTATTTTAATTGTTGGGATCAAAGTATCTAAACCAAAGAACAAAATATAATAAATTGCAGCTTACCATTCCTTAGATGTGGTTGCTGCATTTTGTTCAGGCTGTTCTTTATTTCACTAGGTGATCCTCTTGCCATGGACAGCGGTCCATATCTACAGGGGAGGGGGACAGTCCAGGAAATACAGGAGTGCTACTGAGGCTTCATGAAGTCACAGGATACCCAGTATGCTTTGGGATCACTGGGTTACATATGAGACACCAGAGCCACAGGAGTTGCTGGTGACAAATCAAACCAGAGGAAGATTGGAGGACCAATGTGCTTGCCTGTGATTTGTGATCGGCAGGTTGTAAGTAGTGATGAGCTGAACCTCCCTGGGTTAGGTTCAGCAAGGGTACCAAAGCCTGGTTGGCCATGAAAGGGTGAAATGTGTATGGGGGGGGGGGTGTTGTTGCCAAAATCTTTATCAATAAGGGGGCACCAAGATATCACCCCCCATGTGAATGAGTAGCGGTACATAGTATCCCTACTCATTCATAAAAAAGTTGCAAGCTAGAAATAAAGGCACCCATATGTTTGACAAGTCTTTTATTAAAAAAAAAATGAAATCCTCAAAATTCATTGTCAAACACATTGTCCAACAATGTATATCCACATCACTCATGATGACGATAGCCGACAACCTACCAAAAGGTCAATGATGTCACTGGAATCCTGCCTCTTTGCTTACATGGCCAGTGATTGCCAGCTGGTGATGTCACTGGTTGTTAAGGACTTGGCAATACCTGCATCTGCTGGCTTCTTAAACAACCATTGACAGCACAAAGGTATCATGTATAATATTGGTAGTAACTCTGTTTTTATACATGATGTTCAGCCCCTGCCAAATGAGTAAATGTTCGAGTGTTCTTCCAAAAGACTGAACAGCTAGTTTGGTACAAAACCTTGAGCTCATCCTTAGTTTTAAGTACTGAAGATGCCTTTCTGGGCTACATTGCCTCTAAAGACAGTCTTTCCAAGGACCTTGAGAAAGTTGCTGCTTTGTTCGAACATTAGCATAGAGTCTATTACTATCGAGTTGTTGCAAGATGGAGCCAACACAAAGTCTATGAGTGGGGAAGCCTGGGAATAAAATTACTATCACCCAGGCAGACAACACACTTGTATAGGAGATCTCAGAAGCTGTAATTGAAAAGTGATGAATTTTGGTAGCGAATTTACAGAGGCCAAAGGGCATCACTGGATATTTATTGTGACCAAATCTGGTATTAAATGAAGTCGTATGATTCTCAAAGGTCTAATCTCGTGAATATGTGGGTTGCATGAATAGCTTCATGATAAGCGGTAGCAGTTTATGGTTTTTGACAGTGATGCCATTATGTCTGAGGTAATCATTACAGTTGCCAAAAGAACCATCTGTATTTTCAGCAAGAAGCAGTCTGCCCCAGAAGGAGAAGAAAATTTGCAGATTAAGGCCTTTTGGAGATTTTCTGTGATGGACTTGATCTCTGGGAGATTGAAAGCATATAACCATTCTCTCTAGGTGGGAGAGGAGCCCAAAATTATGTTTATGGCACAATTGATCGAATGAACGATGGGATGGGAACTGATTTGCCTTGCATCTGGAGAAAAGGTCTCGATAAACCATGTAATGAGCTGCAGCCGATGGGGTGACCTTGGAGATAGATAGAGAAGATTTGGCTGGCAAATCTTTGGTGAGGTATGTGGAGTGACAGTGGGGCTCCCAGGCAAGCAACTGAGAAAGACCAATCTAGCACAAGGGGTATTGTCCTTTTGGTCCACAGCAGATACAAGAGGCCTTGGGAATGATGTCAGGCCTTTTCTTCACTAGAATTTAAAGGGCACTGGGAAGGTTAGTGCCAATGCTAAAAAAGGTGAAAAGCCTTTCACAGACAAGGTCTCTTTGGAGCACATATTTTGTGTGGCCAAGGGGTTCAAATCATCAAGCACAATAGCAATTTCACATCCTGTCATTTCGTCTTTATTATGTACAGACAAACCCTGCCAGAAGGTGGCTGTGAAGACCTAGTTATTTCAAACCAGTTCAGTCATGAGAGTTTGAAACTGGATAGAATACTCTCCCACTTGAAAGTTGGTGGAGACATAGGAGGATAAGGGAGCTTTGAGCAGGCTCATTAAATGTTCTATGGAGAAGAGACAGAAAAGCAGCAATGTGTCTAGTCACAGAATTGCTTTTTTTCCCCAGAGTGGGATACCCAGGCTAATGTTGCCCCAGAGAGCAGGTTAATTAGACAGGCCACTTTAGCATGGTCCTTTGGGAAGTTCTGTGGCAGTAGCTTGAAGTAACTTACATCATTTTATGAAATCACCGCAACCCTTAGGATTTCCAGAGAAGCATGGAGGTCAAAAGGCAAGACAGTCATCCACACTGGGAGGCCTGTGGTATGACCAGAGGTTCAGCAGCAAGAGCTAGCACGCCAAGAGTGTATAGGATGTTGAAACAGCAGGTGACTGAAGTACATTGGAGCAAACTGTCATAACCACAAGGAAAGGGATGTTTCAGGAGAAATGGGAGTGGACCTGAGGCTGTGTGGTGAAATAGGATGTACAGGATACTTTGGAATCACAGGGGTCTCCGGGTAACAAAGGATACTCAGGATGCTCTGGAGTCACTGGGTAAGGCAGAAGCCACCAGGGACACAGAGATTGCTGGAGAGACCAGGATCCTTGGAGGCCCTGGGGTTGCTGAAGTAAAAAGGGAAGGGAAGACACAAGAGTCAAAGGAGGGAGCTGCTGGGGACACATTGGAGGTACAGGACTGCAGGGATCACAGATCTCAGGAGGCACAGGAGTGCAGGGGTCATTGAGGCACAGAAGTCTCTGGAGACTTGGAAAACACAGGTAGATGCTGGAGGCACAGGGGAGCTCAGCTTAGGCGTAGCAAATGCCAAGCAACGTATCACCTAGCTCTTTAAGAGGCACCTGTTTCCCAAATTTCTCACTACACTCTGAGTGAAACCCGAAGTGCTGCGGTTAATGCGCCAGAGAGGATACCCAGCTAGGATTGGGGAAGACGCGTAAAACCAGTATTGAACTGCCTGTCCTATGGCGACAGGAATGCTTACTCACTGTACTTTATTTAGGGAAGAGTAGCATTGTCACCCTAGGACAGAAAGGACTACAGAGCACACTCTCAAAAAACAGGACAGCTGCTCTGTAGTTCACCTGGGCAGGGTTGATAATACTACATGGTATAACAGTGCAAAATGCACAGGAACTTGCACTGGATTTCTGTCAGTTTTAGTAAGCATCTTTTCGCACTTATTGACCAGACAGAACAAATTGCTTTCCATGGTACATTTTTTTTATGATTTCTTTTTATTGTGGTTTGCATTAAGATACAAAAGAAAAAGAAACCTTTAACGCCCAATGTAAGCATCAAAACAGCAATTTCAAATGTGGGAGCCCCATAGGTGCAATAGAGAAACAGCAGTTCAAAATGCACAAATAAACATTAAATTGCACCAGGAACAAATACAACTATCCCCCAGCAGCAGGGGATGTTCTAAGAGGGACCCCAGATGGGCAGAAGGTTCCCAGAAGTATATCATGTAATTAGAACAAACAACCTCAGTGAGGGTATGAGTATATAATTAACTTTGAGAAATAGAGCAGTTAAATGCTCAAAGCTAAAGTCAGACATAGATAGTTTTAATCACAGCCGGTTCAGCAGGGACCAGCAAAGATTCAAACCATCTATGGGCAGACTGATTGTACCCAATTCAATTGTTGTATGACTTGGGTACAACCAGCCTGTCTGATTTTTCATATAATTATTGCCAGCGGCTATAGCCACTAGCAATAATCAGTGTTCACAATAGTTCCACGGGAGGGATTCCCCCATCAACACCAATAGTGTTGATGGAGGAATCAAGTGATTATCTTTCCTGCAACCTATGCTTGCAGGAAAGAAAATCACATCCTCTATAGCCTGCCTAAATTTTAGCTCAATGTTTCCGTGTCCGAGGTTTCCAAGCAAGGGAGACCAGATTTTCTCAAATTTGGTTAACATCCCCTGCTCTTGTACGCAAATATAATAGAAGGACCAAGGTAACTAACGATTTCCATTTATCCTAAGTGGGGGGAGGAGGCTTGTACCCTGCAGAACAACTGCCTTCCTGGCATTGAATAACAGAAGATCAAGGAATGTCCTGAGTGCTATTTGTAAACAGCCAGAGGGTCTACCAAGCCAAGAAGACACACCCCAGGATCCAAGGGAACCATAATATAGGTCAGCTGAGAGATGTATTTCAGGATCGTGGCCCAATAACCAGCAATTACCCCACAGGTCTAGAAAATATGAATGAAATGGGGCATCCAGGCGATATCTTTCCCAATCGTGCAGGTGTGAAATAGCACCAGTGCACAATTTTAAATTGGATCAGGCTATCCTTACCTGAAATCAGTCTTTGGAATGGATAATTCCAAACATCATCCCAATCAAAGTCCATATTTGAGTCGTCTTGTGACCATGCATCTCTACATTTCTGTAAAGCTGGATGTGTAGGATGTTGTACTGCCTTATAACTGTTCGAGTGAGGTTTGGACAAGTCAGATCGTAAGAGGGACTCAATTCTAGTAATGGATAGACTCATTTTAACCTGGTTAATTTGGGAACTGCAGGCCTGGTGAAGTTAAATATAGCGCTATAAATACCAGTTTGGGAGATAATTATTTTCAGTGCAGTAAACAAAAGAAGCTCATCATGGGCAAATACATCTCCCAAAACCCTTATACTTCTTGATGCCCATAGGACTAGCTCCAGGATCTGCAGCAGATGTATTGGAAGAAATTAGGAAGGGCTATTCCTCCAGAAGGGGGCTTGTTTCAGAATGGTTAAACTGAGCCTAGGGGTCTTGTGGTTCCACAGTTAGGCAGAGATTTGTGACTCAAACTGTTTAAAGCAGGATGGTGGAATCCAAACAGGGGCATTTCTAAGGATATAAAGGAAGAGGGGAAGCAGTTTCATGGTCATGCATATACGAGGAAAAGGTCATTTCAAATTTGGCTTTAGTGAGGCTCAGTAGGGGCATAATATTCAGGGGGACAAAATCCACTACACTGCCAGATACCTGTATACCCAAATACTTTAGTCTAAGTTACCCTCTGGACGGGTAAAGTTTGGTCCTGAAGTAATGCAGGAATAGGGTAAATCGTCAGTATTTTCGATTTAGCCCAATTTCTTTTAGGAGCAGAAAAGTATGAAAAAAAACAGACCTTAAAGATAAGTTTGTGTCTTTAGAAACATGTTGTCTGCATGTAGTGCTACTTTTACTTCCAACTGGTATACCATAAATGCTATTTGGGGACTTAATCAGAGCACCACAGCCAGGGGTTCTGTCATGAGGAAGAAAAAAAAGAGGACAAGGGACAACCCTGCCTAATACCCCTACACACCGGCAGGGGTGCCAAAAGCATGTTCCCCATTTTTATAAATGCTTTGGACTATGGTATAACAGTTCAATAGAACAAAGGAAAGAGGGGCCAAATCCCATAGTCCAGAGGACCATGCGCATATAGCTCCAAACGACCAAGTGGAACGCTTTCTCAGTATCAAGCGTCACTTTGATCCAATTGACCTGGTCAGAATTTGGAATCTGGAGGGGTTGGTAAAGAGCCTTCTTATATTATTGTCAGTGGATTTCGGAAGAATTAATCCAGTTTGATCAGAATCCACCAAGGTCTCAATCATCCTGGACAACTAAGGTTTATTGCTAAAGTTTACATACACTAAAAAAAAAAAAAAAATCAGAAAGACTGCAAATCTAGAGCACATGACCTTTCAATTTAGCAGTATATAGATGTTCTCCATCCTGCATGTGCGGAGCTTTCCCAGAACATATATCTAAAATTACAGATGTCCCCTGCAACACTGACAGTAAAATCTGCTACTAGGTTGTAACCTAAAAAACAATTATTCCCTGTGGGAACTATTTTCTGTTTTTGTTACTGGACGTGAGTCCAATGCCAAGCATTTCAAAGACACGAGTGATACTGTTGGCAAAAGGAGATTGGGAGGCAGGGGCTCTTTGAAGTTAAAGCACAGAGGGATCCTTGCTCAAATAGGACACTTCCATTTAAGTTGGAGAGCCTTATCCTTCAAAAATGTATTTAAATATTAACATGACATTGGAAGTCTTCTTTGACCACACACCTCTAAAATGTCAACAAAAAGTAAAGGATTTTAGGAAATATGTAACTTTCCAATATGTAGTGGCCAGATACAATTCTAACCTCTGCAAGCTTTTCAAACCCCTGAGAATGCCCCTCTTGTCTCTCCACATGGCATTTTTGTGCATATCTGCGATTTCCATCCATTATAAATGCAACATGTTTAGGCATCGGACCAGCCTATGGGAAAAAAAAACAGAAAGCAGGACTAAGTTATATCTATTCATATTACTCTTTCAAGGGGATATTTACAATGAAAGTATGCAGGAACAACAAATGTACATAAGGCATGCTATGCTTGCTGGATTTAAGTGTAACTGCTTTTTATATAAGCAACACTAAATGACTAGTTGGTATAGGTTTTATTTTTAATTGCAGTCAAGTATAGATATGTAAATGTTTCAGGCAACAATAAGTATGTATTTAATATGTAGGAGGTAATATGGGGAGCATTTTTTTTAGTTTAGGAACCCACATAAATGAAAACTAGAAAATGTATCTGTACCACATATCAACAGGTCAATGCATTGCACAGCAAAGATATAGACAAATACAGTATATGTTAATCACCACTTTTGCACACATAGTTGTGAGTGTTGTCTATAGTTCTTTGTTTATTGTAACTTTAGATATGCTTTCCTACCTTTAAAACATTTGCACATAACCTTTCAATCAATGACAGCTCCTTGTCACGAATCCAAGACATGATTTTTCAAATCTTGAAGACAAAATTAGATAGTTAGTGTAGCTACAGAGACTTATGTCACAGCTGAATTGCACTTGTGCTCCAAGCATCAATTTATCTGCATTTTTACCAAAGATTCACCCAACTATCACCTATTTTCATCAAAGATTCAATTAGAAAACTAAGTGAAGCTTGGATGAAAACATTGATAAATTGACAACACTGTTTAAAAAAAAACAAAAAAAACAGTAAGAAACCAGGTACCAGTATCATTATATGAAACTGCTCAAGTATCTATATTTTCTTATATTCAGCTAATTTCACACTAAGTAAATATAAGCACAGGGCCCTGAATTCACTATTTGATTCAGTGAAAGCAAAAAATTTAAACAAAAGAAAAATGTTTGACTTCTGCTGAAACATAGGTTCCACCCTTGTAGGTTTTGAATTGAGAAATGGTAAAGCTGGCCATGCACGGGGCAAAATTTGGTGGAAAATTGCCAGCCTAACAACAAACACATCCATTCAGATGCAGCCACTGTTCAGGTATTCTGAGAGCCGCTGGTACTGGCTGTCAGAACGCACTAACCAGTAGTAAAGATTCCTCTATTCAAGCTGTTTAACAAGTATGGAGCAATTGCTAGATTTCCCTCCTTCAGCTCCCCTGTTGATCGGAGCACAGTGGGTGGATTACACATCCCTGTCTGTTCAGTTTATGCAGAGAGAACATGGACAAAGCCTGCTCCACTCTATGGGAGGCCAAGTGTAAGCAGACTCCACTGTCCATTTGCACTCGAATACCAGTTTTGAGCAGACTAGATCGAACCCAGAAGTAGATGGACTATTCAATCAGGTTGGCCTGAAAAACTGACAGGTGGACCTTATCAGACATGCCATGTGAAAGGGGCCTTAAAGTACAGCACTAAATTAATATAAGGGTCCGTTTTTGATGTGCTTTTGGGGTTTAAAAAAATGGAAGAAGAAAATGCATGAAAAATGTATTCAATTAAATCTTATGGAATTCGTAACACTGCAGGTGCGCTGCGCTTTGAAAAGTCCTGCATGCTGCATTTTTGGTGCCGTTTTTTAAAAGCACCTTCCATTGTAAGTCAATGGAAGGCAACAAAAGCACATTAGTGTGGAAAAGAGCCCTTTCAACACTATGGTTTGTAAATGTACACAAGGTTTTTTTTTTTTTTTTTTTTTAAAGCATTGGTAAGGCCACACTATTGATTTATATACGAGGCACCAAATGGATCCTTTGCATGTAACATCGGTGAAAATCATAGTTTTGTATCTGTTAAGTTGGCCCCTTTTTTATCAATGACTAAGAACTAGTGATGCAGGTGAGTTTTTTTTTGATTTTACCTCTGACATTCCCGATAAACTACTTAGTAAACAATAAAGTGATCCAATTATGAGGGAAGTAACGGGCTGCTATTACTAGCAGCCTCCTAAAAAATTCTGACTAGCTGTGTCTCTTTTTTTAAGTCACAGCAAAGGATATGTCACAGTACACCAGGAAACTCCATAAAAAGGGGCCATCGCTTTATTGAGCAATCACATTACAGCAAAGGACAGTGTTGTTTCAGAGCCAAGCAGGACCCATTCATCATCATATGACTGATGAAGGGGTCCTGCATGACTCTGAAACGTTGCTGCTGTTTGCTGTGATGTGATCATTCAATTGGACCCTTTCACTGAGTTCCTTTGTGTGCTATCCTTTGCTCTGAGTCGTTCAGGTCTCCAGCGGGTCGCTTCGGCACCCACTTACTCTGCAGCCACTTATAGGAATGTGTGAGTTGAAAATATTCCGTTTTTTTCCCTGATATGGGGCTGTTGTACCAAGTACTTTTTTGTATGTGTGTGTGTATATATATATATATATATATATATATATATATATATATATATAGATCGTATCCTGTTCTCTTTGTATTGCTTCCTTTGTGTGAAGTTCCCAGTGATCCTGTCAGTCCACCTGCTCTCCTATTTCAAACTGACCACACCCCTCACCATGTGGTCAGTTTTCTGTCTGCGCGGAGAACAGCCAGTCTGTCCTCCAATAATCAGACTTGTTCTGACACTTTCTCCCCTGCACAGCCATTCACTGGGAAGATCAGTATACTACTGTTTGTCCACCTCTCTAAGCTCCTCATGCAGCTGAGAACAGAGGTCTGTTGATCACTTATAAACACACACACACACACACACACAAACACTTTGCCTTTCATTTCTATCTTAAGCAGAATGGTTTGTTTTACATGGTGAGGGTTTACATATACTTTGAAGCAGAACTAAACCCTTTTGATTCTATACTTTCAAAAAGCAGTTACATTCCCAGTCTGCCAGTAATGCTAACTGTCACATGTGCTTGTGTTCTTAACCAAACTGTCAAACCATCAAATGGCTGGCGTCATAACTGATCAAATGTACAGCATCAATTGCAGATCAAACAGAGGCTAAGATGGCAGCTTCCTTGATTGAAAAGGGTAGGAGGTTTTAGTTTTGTTTTAAAGAGGTTATAAACCCTTACATATACCCAGTGAAATGATTGGCCTCAGATGATACACAGAGATGAAACAAATCCTCTTAAGTTGTACCTGTACAGTCATCTGTCCCCTACATCCATTTAAAGTGCAGAATTTACACAGGATCTCTGAAAAACAGGTGGTGGGGAGCTGAAGTTACATCAGCGAGGGGAGCTCTGAGAGCTGATTGGAGGGAAGGGACACCCACTTCACTGAGCACACAGAAAGAGCTGAGGATGTCAATCACAAGCTGTGCATTCCCGTCACCATTTTTCTCTTAGCTTCAGGAAAACTTGTCAGAGGTTACTCATGCTTATAGCAGAGGCAGAAGGCAGCAGACAGAAATGACACTTCGGGCTTGTTTACACTTGCTTCAAAATGTGGCATTTGACTCTGAATGCCAATCAAAACTCATGTCACTAAATAAAATGGTAAGATTACAGTCCTGTTTACAAGTTGTGTTTGTTTTGCTTCAAAAATTATACCCATGTCGCTTTCTTGGTGCTTCAAAGCCTCCATAGAAGTCACTGACAAAGCTCGCTTACAGCACCTACAGCTTTTGAGAGGCTTTTAATCAGCTTAAGCTTTGCTTTGTAGGTATTGCAGATACGAGGTATCGTGTCGCTTGTATGCGCTTGTAAACCAACTATCTGCAGTCACATCCAGTTCATGTGTATATGTTCTGGGAGTGTCTGATGTAGACGTCACATCTGTGTGCAAGTGGATCAGTAAGAAGGTGAGCGGGGTCCAGACTGGAGCGGAGCAACTAGCAGACGGCACACATGGTGTGCAACATGGGAACACTATTGAAGAAGGTGAGTAGGGAGCAGAAACAGAGGACTGACTGACAGAGGATCAGCAGAGCTGGAGGACCGAAGCAGGAGAAACTAGTAATGTCACACATGGTGTGCAGTGTGGGAGCAATATAGCGGGAAGTGAGCAGGGACCAGAGAAGGAGTATCAGCAAATCAGTGGATCAGTAGAGCCGGGGGTTGCTACTGAGTGGGGATCAGCAGAGCTGGGACTTGCTACTGAGCAGAGGATTGGCAGAGCTGGCGGTTACTACTGAGTGGGGCATCAGCAGAGCTGGGGATACTACTGAGCAGGGGATCTGCTGAATGAGGGTAATAATAAGCTGGGGATCTGCTGAACGAGGGTACCAATGAGCTGGGGATCTGCTGAGGAGTGGGGGTAGTACTGAGTCCCTTTTAAACAAGTTTAAAATCAACACACAGGGCATTTGCCAAGCTTCATTAAAGCTTCCAAAAAAAAAAAAAAAAAAAAAATCACCAAAGCATCAAAAACACATCAAAATAGCAAGTCGAAGAGGTAGGAACTTTAATGTGTGTTAGGCCTTGTTCATACCTTGGTACAGAGATGTCAGTTTTACTGAAAGCATTCTGCAAGGGCACAACAAAATCACTTGTTCTCTATGTGCCCTGCTCACAATTGTACACAAATTATTTGTAGATTCGATGAATGTCATTTAAAAATGTAACTTGCTTTTAACATTCAGTTTTAAAATTAATGTAATTTCTGAAAAAAAACCCCACATACACTGTCCAAAAAATCTGTCCGATTGAGAAAATTTTTTTTTTATTCTGCTCCTTCAAAGTTTCCCATCACTGTGGTTGAAAACAAACTTTGATTTGACTCCACTAGCGATTAGAAAATAGAACAAACATTCTTAAAGCGGAGTTCCACTCAAACATTTGCCTCCCCCCTCCACTGCCATATTTGGCAGCTTTTTCTGGGGGGATTGCCTGGTTTTGACAGGTACCTGCTCCCACTTCCAACTCAGTTCGCCGAGGCAAAGCGAGCCGGACCTTTGGCCCCCTCCTTCCTCCTGCAGTCCCCTGGGAACCTTCACAGGTCCCAGAAGACTGCCGGACCAATCAGAATACGCAGTGCGACTCGTGCATGCGCAGTGGGCACCCGGCTGTGAAGTCGCAATCTGTCACAGCATGGTGCCCACAGTTGTGATGCTGGCGCCAAGGAGAGAAGAGGCAGAGAAAGGATGGCGCAGGTGAGCACATCAGATGACCCTGGGACAGGTAAGTGTGTGTTTATTAAAAGTCATCAGCTACAGTTTTTGTAGTTGCTGACTTTTAATAAACACAAAACTGACTGGAACTCTGCTGTGTAATGAAAATTTTCAAAGGAAAAATTAGTTCATGGATGGCCAGCGTAAGTGACAGCAGGCACAGGTATGTATATATCAAACTACCTGCCTATGACAAGGGAGTATGTCATGCATAATATTATATTACAATCCTGTCTGAAAATCTACAAAACAGCATTTTAGGTCTTTAAAAATAAATTTTTAAACAAAATTTTTGATCTCTGAGTCTGATGATACAGTATCTCACAGAAGTGAGTACACCACTCACATTTTTGTAAATATTTTATTCTATCTTTTCATGTGACAACACTGAAGAAATGACACTTTGCTACAATGTAAAGTAGTGAGTGTACAGCTTGTATAACATT